TTGTCTTTTTACCTAATGAGTATATAGATTCGAGAGGGTATGACCGTATTAAGCTGTCAGCCGAATATTGTAGGCGAGGAGAAGGCATTTGCGTCTTGGGTGTTTTCGGCATTGGGTAGATCGAGATTTTTAGATGAGAAGCATTTGGATGCAGTCACCGGACTTTCAGGAAGTGGACCTGCTTTTGCTTGGTATGTATGTTGGAGGTGATTGATTGAATATAAGATTCTATCTAATGGCTCTCATCTTTCAACTTTATATGATAAGTGTTGTATTGGAAGCTTTAGCCGATGGAGGAGTAATGATGGGACTTCCTCGTGACGTTGCATTAGAATTAGCAGCACAAGGTGAGAACTTGAAACCTATCAAATCTATCCAGGTCTTTACTAATCTGTAATAATTGGCTCATACAGCTTTACAAGGAGCTGCACGAATGGTATTACAAACAGAAAAACATCCAGCCGAAATCAAAGATAGCGTGACTACACCAGCTGGATGTACCATCGCCGGGTTACTCACCATGGAAGACGGAAAGATTAGATCTACATTGGCAAGAACTGTTCAGGAAGCTACTAAAGTTGCATCAACTTTGGGAAATGTTCAAGCAAAATAGTCGATGACTTACTGTGATCCGTTTAACTCTTAGGATATTTCTGTGTATTTATATATTTATAAGCGGGATCCTGAGTTTAGAGTACTAGGATTGAATGGATTTTGGATGGATGATAAAAAAACCATTTTTGAGTGTACTTCATTAATAAATTTTTATATATAAACAATCTAATTCTTTTATTTAACCTATCATTCTATCTTCTGAAAGAAACAAATCACTAACAAGACTTTCTGACATTATTAGAATTAATAATTATATCTATCATAAGTTAGATTAAATAAACACGAATCTCTAAATAAATAATTAACAATAAAAAATAAATTAGTTTCCGATAATCAGCCAATCAATCAACTTTTTTACTTTTTCTCTTCAAATCTTCTCTCACTGCACTTGTCAAACGAACCCAACTGTCAAAAATCAAAGCACTCGGAATCACCGTCCAAAAGGCATTAGCAAATACGAAATACCCCCAATAATAATATGGTTCTGGACGAGAATGAGGACTTCCTTCAAATATTGTGGTCCAGTAGTATAGGATGCATCCGTAAATTTGGCCCATTGAAATTACAAATTGTAGAACGTATCGTGAAGGCCAATTTTGATAGATTGCCAGAGCAGTGGTGAATGAAAGTGGGCCCCAGAGTGTCTAGCAATTATTTTAATACGAATTTATACAGAGAAATAAAGTGATTAATGGAATCTGAAGTAAAAATATTCATGTGTTCCCAGTCAGTAGAAATGAAACATTATACTTACAGAAGTAATTCTTTCCATGTTCACAACAAACGCGTCCGCAGTCAAATATCTAGAGTCACTCAACGCATATTCTTTCCACATTTGACCAAACAATCCGTTATCTTGTTGCATAGTCTGATAGAAGGCGGCAAAGTATCCTTCGAAAAATGTGTGAATGAACCCACAAATCACAAACCATGTAAAGATTATTTTGTTTGCTGTAGAGACTTTATATTTGCTATTGAGGTTTGCTTGGTTTTGAGGATGAACTATGTTGTTGTTATAATTCTTTGATCTTGAGATTATTATTAGGCTGGAGCATATTATCAGTGATAAAACGCTGAGAAATACAGCCAGGATTGTGGTCATTGAAAAGGTTGGTTCTGTGTAGTTTGGAAGCTTTAAAAGGAACATTATTCCTTTTTAGAGAATGTCATGAAAGTAATAAAGCAAAGAGTAATAGGTTACCTCAAGGTTGGTCGGGTAATATGGATGAGAGGGAAGTGTGCTGCTCCCTATGTCATTTTCAACCTCTCCAAGGTTACCAGCGATTTCATCCCGTACATCATCACTGACTATCTCGCCCAGTAATACACTTTTAAACCGTGTATAAAGTGACTCGACCATATTTTTATATTTAAAGGTAATTTCACGCGACCGCTATACAGAAATATCTTGTCTCATAATAAGATCATTTTATAATGAAACGAAGATCACTACCAAAAATTTCCTATTTCATTTAAAGCAATTATGTAACATTTACACGCTTACATTTTAAGTTCTGTCAAAATAAAATTAAAATTTCTAAAAAAGTATGATACTCAAATTCTCATGTATTTCTCCATGGCAGGAAAGGTTATATGCTACACTTTTATCAATCTATTAAATGGTTGAAATTCCTTAAGAGGTGTATTAAAAGCCACCAAGCTCTTATTACATTATCTCTTTTTGGCATATCGAAAAGTTCCTCTTGAGTGTCTACAATTGATGATATCATTTTGTATCACATTGGTTTGAAGTATTTCCGTAAAAATTTTTTGTGACTCAGAACAGATCATAATTCTACCACCGAGAGTGTTTTTTTACCTTTAATTATGTTGTGTGTTCAGAAACGAATTTTTGGCGCCTTTAATGGTGGAGCTTCTCGCTTTTTCTCTAGCTCGGCTGTTTCGGTGAATTTGTTTTTTTATGTCTTGGAATTTGCTTTATTTTTCACATTTTTAAGTTTCACGTTTCACATTTCTATTAATTAGAGTAATTGCTTGTTTATTTACATTCGTTATTAAACCGCATTAATTTAGAATTCTGCAAAAGTTGCCATACTCGGCGCTTCTGGTGAGTTTGTTGCTTGGCAAAAGAATTTTCTGGTTTTCCTTTCGTACTATTTGAATCCTTTCTACCTGTCAATATTCTTATAACAATAAATCCGATATCACCCAAATAATCGTAAAATCCCATTATTGATAATAATAAAAAGGTGGTATCGGCCAGCCTCTTTCTCTATTACTTAAACACAACGAACACATTTCCACATTATCGCTCTACGATATTGTTAATACGCCCGGTGTCGCTGCTGATTTGAGTCATATTAACACAAAGAGTAAAGTATGCATGTGTTTCCTTTTTTTTTTTTTGGTGTCATTCCCATTAAACATTAAGAAGATCGAAATTAATTAAAACTTTTACCGCTTAACTGTCAAATCAAAAGGTCACCGGTTATATCCCTGAAAACGATGGTTTAAAACATGCAATCACTGGCGCCGATATTATCGTCATTCCAGCTGGTGTCCCTCGGAAACCTGGCATGTCGCGCGATGATTTGTTTAATGTATGAGTCCATGCTTACGAGAATTTTTTATGGTTGATTTATAATGTCATGCATGTGTTTTTGATTTGATTTCATAATAGACAAATGCTGGGATTGTTAAAGATTTGGCGGAGGCTGCAGCAAAGTAAATTTTATACCAAATCATTTAAAGAAATAAACAAATAAGCTTATTATTAACTGGCATTTGATACGATTATTAGATATGCACCGAAAGCATTACTAGCAGTCATATCAAATCCTGTAAATTCAACTGTTCCAATTGTCTCGGAGGTATTCAAAAAACATAATGTGTATGATCCAAAGCGGTAAGTTTTTCGTTTTCTTCATTCCTTCAATACATGACAAAATTAAATCATAAAATCTGTGTCCATTGCTAAACATTTCGAATCCCACGCAAATTTGAACTTGCGCGTAAAAATAGTATTTTCGGTGTGACAACTCTTGATGTAGTACGAGCGTCTCGATTCGTCTCTGAAATTAAAAATACAGATCCTAAAGACGAAAAAATTACCGTGGTGGGTGGTCACTCTGGTGTAACCATCGTTCCATTACTCTCTCAACTTAACCACTCGTTCACCGACGAAGAATACAAAGCTTTGACTCATCGAATTCAGAATGGTGGTGATGAGGTAGTTAAGGCTAAAGCTGGTAAATGTTAAGGATGATAAATATATTATTTTGTTTTTTTTTTAATGGGTTAATGAGGTGATTTGCTATTGATTCGAAGATTCTACTAATAAATATTATAACTTCTTTAAATAATAAAATAGGCGCAGGATCAGCAACCTTGTCAATGGCCTACGCTGCTTCACACTTTACAAACTCTTTACTTCGTGCTCTTCATGGTGAAAAGAACGTAATCGAACCAACCTATGTGAGATCCGAGCTTTTCGCGCCGGATGGTATCGAATATTTCGCATCAAATGTCGAATTAGGGCCAAATGGTGCCGAAAAAATATTCACTCTTGGAAAACTTTCGGATTATGAAAAAGAGTTGATTAATGCCGCGTTACCGCAGTTGAAAAAGAATATTGAAAAGGGAGTGAAGCTTGTTGTTGGATGATTTGATCATTGGAGGAGAATATAATCTTAAATAAAAAAAATGAATTCGAATTTTTGCATGAGTTACGTATTTAAGTTAAGGGATGGTATGCATAATCGGTATGGATGATCAGATGTGTCAGCCGTTACTATGTTTCACCGTTTTAGTAGCAAAATAACCCTGTCTAATCCTTTTCCGTAGTACATCATACTGTATTTGCCCAATCACACCGTTTATTTGTATTACTGTTAGTATTTAAAATTCACTGATTCCGACGATCTGTGTTTACCTCTTGCCTGACCCGATCGTCGAACGGAGAATTTTCTAATTATAAGCATACGCTTTTTTCCTTTTCTATTTATATACTCACAATACTAATATTATTTTAATTTCTATCTAACTTGGTAACAAAATGATAAATTATTGGTGGATTCAAATAATTTTTAGCCAGTTTGAAATGAGTGTGTTCGTGATCATCTTTTCTTTTAAAGGTAATAATTAAATTCGGAGTCAACGTGTTTGTACTAGGCATCAACAGATCCAAGCAAATAATTTAACGCAAACCGTTTATTATCGTATTACGAATTAATATATTTTCATCTTTGGTGATACTAAGAAATACAATTGGAAATTTTGGGTTCATTATTATGCAATCTTGTGGGGGACAACGATCACTAAAGTAAGCAATCCAACAAAGGTCATTCTGTTACTGCATCAAAGCAACGCAGAGTATAACGATAGCTCCTAAATTTACGTGATTGATACGCACATAATCATAAATAAATTTTTAATATCTAACGCTAATAATAAATAAATAAATAAATAATAATAAAGATAAGTAACAAAAATAGTCACCTCCTAACTTTATTTTTGAATATTAATAGTACGTAGATATTTTTTCAGCCCAGACAAAAAAAGCACTTAGCCTGTGTGCTTGCGCCTCCCAACAACAAAACAAAAAATTAAAATATCCCTTTCCTCATTTCCGTGTATATGATTATTTACTATTTGAACCCACAAAAACCTTTGACGATTTTTAGAAACGAAAACATTAACGCTAATAATAAAAAAAAAATAATTCTAATTGATAACAAAAAAAAAATTATAATACAATATAATAATAACAGTGGTAAATAATAATAATAATAGTGATAATATATAATAATATAATATATATTGCTTCTATTGTTGTTTTTAGCCATAGAATTAGTCATAGAATAAACCAGAGCCTCAATGAATTCACCAACAACTTCTTCGCATCAAGTGCACCCAGAACCCATCAGTGTTGAACACGATGGGGCTCCAGAAAAGAATAATGGTGGTGGCGGCTTTTTTGATAGTACATTAAAAATGGCAGGATATCGTAAAAGACGGTTTGGGAAAATTCCTGAACCTGTGATAATCCCTCCACCAAATCCATCAATCACAACTTCGTCACCGGTTAGTCCGGCAAAGAGTGATAGTTGCCTCGATTTACCCTCGTCCTCTCCTCGTACTCCATCAAGTCCAACCAAAAGATTTGTGTTGAAACCGATTAATGCCTTGGCTGCCGCATTACAGAGAACTTCGCTTACCGGTCTTACAGGAAGAAATAAATCAGCCACAACATTGAAAGTACCAAAGTCTCCACAATCACCCAAAGGAAATCATTCTTCTTCGCCTTTGTCATCTTTTGGGAAAATAATTTCACCTGGATCACCAACCAATAAATCATCGCCCCAATTATCTAAACCACCGAAGTCTCCAAGAATATTGCATAGAAAAGGAAGTGGTAGTTCTCTTAAAAAAAGTGGATTGGATAGTCCAACAAGATCTGTTACTGACTCGATTCTCGCCCCTATTAAGGATATTAACAATAATTCATCGACTGCAGCACAACAACAAAATTCCGGTGGTAATGGAAACGTGACAAGTGGATCAAATTCAAAATCATTTTTCTTTCAAAAATCCCCATTTAACTTATCAATTAATACCTCTCAAACTTCAGCGCCGAAATCACCATCGAAACTTAGCAAATTTAATCTAAGAACACAAAAATCTGCTCACGGATCATCATGCAGGAAAGCAATGCCAATCTCACCTCTTGAACTCGGTGAAAAATTACGTGAATTTTTTTTACCACCTACTTCTAATATCACATCTAATAATAATAATAATAATAATAATAATCATAGTGGAACTGATCAAAGCAAATATAATATTGTTAATAGTAAAGCACACAAAATATCACCAAAACCAATTCTTATTGATGTGAGAAATCTTGCATTATATCAAGACGCTCATATTCGAGACTCATTTAATGTTAATCTCCCTACATTGCTTATTAAACGGTATCGTCGTGGAAATGTTAGTAATTTTTCATTGGATAATTTTATAACTACTCCCGAAGGACGAGATAAATACCTAGATATTATACAAGAGGATGGTGGTAAAAATGCACATGATGTCATCGTATTTGATGAGACTATGGATGAATCAGATAAAGATAGCCCTGGATGGACCTTATTGAGTGTGTTGGAACGTGCGATGTTGACTTCACTTGATTCAACATCATCAGAGAATGTTAATGAATCTTGTGAATTATTAAAAGGAAGAGTTTATTGGCTGAAAGGAGGATTTGAAGCCTTCAAAAATTGGGATAAAGAGAAAATATTCGTGACAGACGGATTAGAATTAGAATCATGGCCACTTGCGTCTTGTTCATCTTCAATAAAAACTCAGGATCAAAATAGCTGTAGTAATATACCAACTCATAATAACAATACGGAAAATGCATCATCATTTAACGATTATGAGATTTTTGGTAATGGGGAAGGAGCACCAAATCTAGTCAGAAGAGATTCACTATTCTCAGTTAATACTGAGAGAAGTTCATTGAGACGTAAATTAAGTGATCAAAAAGAAATACAAAAACAACCTTCAATCGAAGAAAATCATAATAACGAACATCAATCACAACCATTATCATTACAACCAACAACAGATTATCATCATAATTATAATGATCAGCAACAACAGCAATCGCAGAAATCCTCTCCTAAACAACCATCAGATATAATTAAATCACGGAGAGCTTCAAATGGATTGCAATATCTTTTTGGCCCTTCAGGTGGAAGTTCACGAAATGGTAATTTTTTTAATAAAAGCTTTCTTTATTATTAATTCTGTTATAATGATTATTTATTTGGATTTTTTTATGAAATATTTCTTAGTTGGAGAATGTCCGCCGACTCCTTCAGATCCAAATCGACAACGTTATTCATTATTTGATGATGATAATTATAATGTGGATCCTAATGAATGCTCACCAAATACTCCAACCTCACCATCACAAGTTACACATCCTGAAACCGTTTTCATAGTTTCCACAATTCTTTCGGATTTTCTGTTCCTCGGACCAGAGATTACTAAACAGGAAGAAGTGGATGAATTGAAAGAAAAAGGTGTAAAAAGAATTCTAAATATGGCGTATGAATGTGAGGATGTTTTGGGATTAAACCGACAATTTGAGAGCTATCTAAAATTGAATATTAAGGATTCGGTTGAGGAAGACGTCGAAAGTGGGTTAAAAATTGCAATTGACTTTATAGGTAAGTTTGAAATGCCAAGAATTTTCGCCAATAATTATGTTTACCATTATTAATCAAATAAATATTTTTATTAAAAGATAAAGCGCAAAAAGATAATGCATCGGTTTACGTGCACTGTAAAGCTGGAAAATCTCGATCAGTCACCGCGGTATTAGCATATCTCATAAAATCACGTCGTTGGACCCTAAAGGATGCCTACGACTACGTAATGAAACGGAGACGAGGAATATGTCCAAATATTGGATTTGTGGCTGAATTGATGAGATTAGAAGAAAATGTATTGGGCGTACGCCGCTCAAATTTCAACTCAGCAACTTCTTCCTCTTCATCACCATCATCAAAGAATCAGGAATACGAGATGGAAAGGCGAGGAAGGGATGATAGTACTATTATTAATTCGTCAAATGAGGGCACACAACCACCTATAAAATTACCAAAGACTGCCTTTTTTTAATTAGATTGACATGGAAGACAACATGGATGAATTGACTGATGAACAATATAAAAAAATTGACGTAGAGTCAATTACCAAAAATTCTGTAAGAACATCTTTTTTGCTTTTTGGACGTAGTTTGTTGGATTATTTATTTTTTTTATTTATTTTTGGGTGCATTTTTTATGAGAATGCACAATCTTCAATGTATTATATTTATTTTTTCAATTTCCTTTTTTTTCTTTTGAAATGAAAGAGACATTGATTTCCGTGTGTTTGGTGAGTACTTCATCAAATTAAAAATTAAAATTATAAAATTTTTGTCATGAATTTTCATTTCTCGGTGATTTGATAATTGATATTTTAAATTGGGATTAAAAAATTGAACTGATGCTGGTACTGCTGCTGCTGCTAAAAGAAATAAAACATCATTCGTGTTTGATTTATTAATTAAATAAGAGAATTCTTAAAAATCAAAAATGGAAATTTTTAATGCGAGAATAAATATCATGTCATGTGATAGGGCTTAGGATATTCTATACCCCCCTTCAAAATAGTATGTTGTGCTAGAGCAAGGGGGATATATAATGTATATTTAACAATTCAATGCTGCACAAAATTCTAAATTTCCATTTTTCTTCATTGCAAATGATGGAAAACGAGGATAATATACTTTTGAAAACATTTAATGAAGTAGAGTATGATAATAACACTAATAATAGCACAAAATCAATAGATTGTAATAGTAGTAATAGTAATATAACAATACGACGTGGTAGTACTTCACATATAACATCAAACATATCAAGACAGCATAATGAAGTGGGCGGAGGAAGAGGAGGAATACGTTCATCAGATTCCCTAGCAAATTCAAATTTAATGATAACATTACCATTAGGTGAAGATTCCACCATTACACTAGATCGTTCTCCAAACGCGGTGCAAAATTTTCTAATAGAACAAGAATTAAAACAACGATCAAATAGTATTTCGTTGCAAACCGCCCTCACCAATTTATCCTATATTGCGATATGGTATTTTTTCTCGACCGCTCTCTCGTTCTATAATAAATATTTGATGGGAAAGCATAAATTTAACTTGAATTTACCGATATTGGTGAGCGCATTGCATTCTGGCATGCATTTTTTGATTACTTCGGTGTTGATGCGTGGAACATGTTCTGCGGTGTATCGAAAGTCATCGATGGAGAGTAGCGGTAAGACATTAGTGTCGAGACAAAGTTACATGTCTAGAGTGGTGAGTAAATTTGCATGCGTCTAAGAGTGGAAGAGTGATCATACAAGATGACGTGATATTTATATTTATGATTATTCTATATCTATCGGTCGCTTTGATTGATTTATTGAATAATTAGTTTTGAAGGAAAGGAAACATCTCAAAATGGATTTTTAATAATACTAGTCCCCCCACACCCGAATTATTATCATTTCGTTTTTCATTATCTACACAAAATGCACAAAATACACAAAAAAACGCGTAAAAATATATGCACATATAATAAATAGGTTCCAACTGCTATTGCTGCAGCACTCGAAATATGTATGTCTAATGCTTCACTAGTATTTATCACTCTAAGTTTTTACACAATGGTAAGGATCTAGTGCTATGTTATTTTGATCATTTCATTAACTAATCAAATAATCTTCAATAAATAATAGGTTAAATCGTCAAGTCCAATATGGGTATTAGTATTTTCATTCATTTTCAGATTAGAGCAGCCACGACTCATTCTCGTAGCAATAATCTTAATAATAAGTTTAGGCGTAGTATTAACAGTAGCCGGCGAGACCAAATTCAATCTCGCTGGCTTCATATTAGTACTCGGATCCGCAATAATAAGTGGTCTTCGATGGTCAATAACACAAATGTTATTACAAAAAGAAGAAGGAATCAACCACCCAATTGCCACACTCTACTACTTATCACCAATAATGTGCTCCATAATGACCGTTCTTTCGCTGATTATCGAAAACCCGTTTGCTCAATTCGCCAATTCACCACATTTTCGTGATGCCGCTACTTCATTACATACATTCGTGTTGATGTTGTCTGGTGGTTTTTTGGCATTTTGTATGACTATCGCGGAGTTTGCTCTTATTAAAAATACGAGTACGGTGACATTGTCGGTTGCCGGGATTAGTAAGGAACTTTTGATTATTGGGTTGTCGGTTCTGATTAATCATGACAAGTTGACAAATATCAATCTACTTGGGTATGTTTCTTTGTGTGTGCAATTATTTAATCCACCATCTTGAAGGTCTATGAATTAACCGCTTTTATTATCTGTTAATATTACTAGGTTAATTATATCCATATTTGGAATTGCCGCGTATAATTATTATAAAATACGAAAGAACGATATTAGCGATCGAAAAGTCAAATACCAACAATTGTCATCACAAAAAAATGAATTATTTGATTAGTATATTGTACTTTATTTTTTGCTTTCATACTATTAACGTTTATGTACAATCGACTCGCTGCGGTATAGATTCGAGATCTACGAAAATTGCTACTAATACATATGGGGTGTTATTTACATAGTCTTCCAATCAAAAAAGATCTTCAGGACAATAATCATTTTGGAATGTGATATTTTCCCAAATAACAAACTTCTATGGAATAGGGCTTGGGATTGATCATCTTTAGGACAATCAATTACCAAGTGAAATCATGATCTTTTGAAAACAGTTACATAGTCACAATTAATATGATGCAATTCATCATCAGTGTTATAATGATGCAAAATGATTACAAGCATTAATACAATGTGTATCACCCTAATAAACTCGATTAGTAAAGTCTGGTTCTAGCTTAAAACTTTTTGGTTTCGACTCTGTTTACCTCTAAAAAAAAAAAAACCGACAAAACTATTCACAAAATCAGCTATTATATAATAGCTCGAATATACTCTTGTCAAACATAGATTTTATAGAAAATACATACACGTCTGAAAAGTACTATGCCGGATGTGATTTCAAAAGAAGACAAAAAACAAAATAACCAGAAAAAAACTGAGCCACAAATAGAGCAAGAAACTGAAGCACATATAGATTCTGAAATTAGCTTAGACACAGCCGAAGAAGAGAAAACGTCGGATTTCTCTGATTTGGAAACTTTGACGACAAAAAAAACACTCTTGCAGGCAAATCAAATTATAGAACAATCCGAAACTAGAATAAGTTATAATAATAATAGCAGCATTAATAAAAGTAATAATAGTAGCAATAGTAATAATAGTAATAGCAATAGTAATATAGACTGTTTATCAAAGATATCAGAAAATTTAACAAATCCTCAAGTTGAAGAGGATCCTAAAACGATTATAGACGTTCCTAATATCTCTAATTCAGAAATTTTGGCCACAAAAATGACTGTTTCTCCTGCGTTACCTCCAACTTCTATCAATGACAATAATAAGAACAACAGTAGTAGTAGTAGTAGTAATATGAATAATAAGAATAATAATAATGATGATAATGTTAATAACAATAATAACAATAACAGTAATCCTTTATCAAAACCAGATAGAAAATCACGATATATGCTATTCTCCTCTCTGATGAGCAATAGTAACAATAATAGTTCAACGCCGTCGATTGCCTCGTCTGCTTCAAATACTGACAGCTCGGGAAAAAAGAAAAAATCGTCGTCACTTGAAGCTCCGACAGACAATTCTGGGTCTTCGAAATTTAGATTATTTAGAGTCTGGGGTAATAACCAAGATTCTGAATATAAAGCTTTAGAGAAGGCTCTAGGAAGGTAATTACAAGATCGGGTGCGAGAGTGTGACATATTTTAGTTTTTCGTTTTCATATGCTAATCTAATTTCCGTTTATTATTTTTTTCGAAATATATAGATTCCAATCAAAAGATCGTTATAAAGTTGATATTCTAAAAACTCTTGTAATTCCATGGCTAAAGAAAAATAATTCAAGTAAATTCCTTTTCGGATTTTGTGTATTTTATTATTTAATGTTAATTTATTTTTATAATTTTATTAGTAAATGTCGCCGATAAATATCTTCAACACGGTCGTATGGTATTACTGAAATGGTGATGATTTATTTTGGATATTGTAAATTGCAAAATTAAGGGATTTGTTATATGAATGATTGAATTTTATTTTTTTACTATTAATTTGACAGGTGGAATATTTTAATAGCGAATTTACCGAATGCGGCGTACACCGATCGTACCTTATATTTCGAATGTATATTAGCTTTGATGACGAGGTATTTTTTATAGATCAAAACATATATTTATACGTGTATTCACCCAATTCGTCTTACTCTTTTATACCTGAATCAACTATTATACTGATTCTTTTTTTCATAATTAATCAAAAGGCACGAATTCGAAGAATTTGGCAAGTTTGATATTATATTAATTTTATGATGTTTGAGAAAGAAAGGGAGAATAAAAGCAATCACTATAATTATCATGAGAACATTTTATTAATCTAAATTAAAAAAACAGATTGGATAGGTCCATTACCACAATCCGATCGAGGAGACTCGTATAATGGAATTCCGATAGAATCAATCATATCGTATCGTGGAGCTTTATTATCAACGCTTAGTTATGCCATTGATCGATTAAATCAAAAGGGTGTTTACTCGAACGTGATTTCTTTTTGTGCTCGGGTGTTAGGTAAATAATTAGTGATGATTAATAAATAAATATTTTTTTTTATTATTCAGTTTCTTTTTTTTTATAATTATGTGTTTAATTTTTTTTATTTATAGCATTATGTTTCTTTAAAATTCCAAGCGTTGGGTTTGCCTTGTTGCAAGGATTACCGGTTAAAAAGTTGCATATTAAGAGAATGTTAACGGAAACTGTCGGAGATTTTGAATCGAAGTAATTAGAATTCTTATTATATGAAATTTGTAATACCTGAAAGAATATTTTCATTTTAACATTTCAAATACTTGATAGTGAAGTATGGATTAGAAAACAGAACGAAAAAATTCTACCAATATTTCCCGATCATCTTAATATTCTTTGTTTTTCGAATTTACAATCGTGGTGGCGACAATTTGAAAACGCGAAAAAAATTTTGGGTGAGCCGCCTATTGAGATGGCTGGTAATTGGATAAGAAGGTATAGATAAAATAATGCAATTTAAACAAGTCAAATGAGTTTAACTGCTAAGATTTGCTCTGTCTGATTTTATATCTAATTATTATTGATTAATAGATGGCAAAGCGATGATAGCGAATTATTTTTCTCGTTTTACAAACATTATCATGTTGTTCTGAAAAATTACCTATCACCACACCTTTCCTCATTAGCAACATCAACCACAGCGACGACATCACCGTCATCAAAGTTTTTATCAAATCCCGTGAATTATATTACAACACCGGGTTATTTACACTTATCTGCTTTTTTCCTAAACAAAATAGAATCTTTAGTACATCGTAATATACACACCATCACCACTGTAATACAGTTTGAGCATCCCCGTAATGTGTCTGGTGGTGCTATGGCAGGTGCTGGTGGTGGTAATTCTATGACAGGTGGTGGTGTTGGAAGTCAAATGTCATCGAATGGAGGCGGAGGATCACCTAGTTCTATTAATCCCAATGCTGTTGCTATTGGAATGGGAACATTTAACGGTAATGGTAATGTTAATGGTAATGGAAAACCAAAGGTTCTTGAAATGGCTGGACGTAGATTTGTTGAGACACTTGTCTCAATTGTGGAGCATGACATATATGAAGATATGTGCAATCATTGGATAAAAGCTGTTGTGAAGAAAACAAATATGTATGATGTAGAAGGCGTATTTTGTAAGTACTTCTCTCTCTTGTTTTATATGTGAATAAATATTTAATATTATTTATTATAAACAGGTCTGCTAGATTTCCTCGACACGTTAATAATGGAACTGGATGGAAGGTAAATACGATTTTTTCCAATTATTTTACTTTATTTAAATATTAATTTTTTATTTTTTTATTTTTTTCATAATTTTTAAAAAATAATGATAAAAAATAATTAAATAAAAATGTATTATTCATTTTTTTTTTGATAGAATTTATAATTATTTTTGTTTATTATTCTATATATTATATAATATATGTATATACGAAAAAATTATAAAAATAGGGATAGTATAGATACATCCAATGACCATCAAATCCCTGACAATATAAACATAAATTTTTCCACCTCATTTTCTTCCATCAGTTCATCTTCCTCGTCTAGTAGCGCCGGTGGACTAATTAACATCCTCGACATACCATTTTATCTCTCGTTAATCAAGTTACTTCTGAGCAAATCTGACCACACAATCACCCTTTTACGTACCCTAAGTTTTATATATACCCATTTCTATTTACTCACCTCGAAACCAAGTTACCTCGATCAACTGGTTAAAGATTTATTATTGGGGGAAGAGATGTTTGAACGGTTATTTTGCCATTGGTCGCGGAATGTGCGCATTTATTTTATACGATTGTTGATTTGGCGCGTCTCGAGGGTTGCCGGCGGGGCAGGTCTTGCTGGAGTTGGTAATGGATTTCTTTTTGGAAATGGTGAAGGCATAAGAGCAGGCATTTTCGAGGAGGAAATACAACGAAAAAAGAAGGAACCAATTGACAGTGCTGTGTCTTTTGACGCTAATGTTGAAGAGAGTATTATTGAGTAAGTAATTGACTTGTATATATTTAATTTTCTTAATTTTTTCTTTCACTTGTGTTAAATTTATATTACAAACTTATTTTTATATCTTCACTGATAAATTAATCATATAGTATTGTATTATTTACATTGCAAAGTCGAATTGAAAATATACGACTTTGTCATGAATTCTTTTCTAACTATGTTGCTGATAGTAAAAGTAATGGAGATGCTTTAGGAAAGGGTGTTGAAGAAGAAATGAAATCATGTTCATCTTCATCATCAGCATCCTCGCCAAATAATAGTAATAATAGCACAGCTGTTACCGGTGAAGAAAATGGCGAATCAGCCGCATCAACAGAAAACACCCATGATAAAAGACATTCATCTATCAATAATAATTACACTTCTAACACTAATAATGACACAAAAAAAGGATCGAGTTCCTCATCATCATCAACTTCTTCATCAACTCATACGGCCACCTCTTCTAAATCCTCCCCAAACAAAAATCAACCGGAATTACAGCAACTGCCACCAGAAACATCCGCATCCCCCACACCCTCTCGCCAAAATTCAAATCAAAAAAAGAAAAAGAAAGTCAAAGATTTGATTGCCATGCAACCTTCTGCATCCGCATCTACATCTGGTAAAAATCTTTCTTCAGCCGCTTGTCTCTTTCGTTGGATGCTTCCAACTCCTTCATTGTCATCATCATCAAAGAATTTTCGTCACTCTTATCCCAATTATCACAAACGTGGATCGAGATTATCCACATATAGTAATAACACAAATAATAA